AACAAAAATATGTTGCATTTTACCCCGCACCGGGGCGAATTGCAACAGTGCACGGGGCAAGTTGCAACACAATACTTTTAAAGTATAAGCTTTGCAGAGTTCACATAAAAATTACTAGTTAATCTGTAATTTCTATTTGGCAACAAAACATTATAATTAAAAGAAAAGAAAAGTAGTATTTTAGACTTGACATGTACCTGACATGTTTAGTAAACTAATGCTTACATTCAAAGACTTTAAAAACTGAAGAAAGAAAATAATGAGGATTATTATTTAAGCTCATATATTATTTAAACTTTTAAGTGTTTTTTTAAAAAAGTATTCCTTTAGTTATTCAGTAAACATTAAATCAATTTATAAAAATGCAAGAGTAGTTTTATAAATAATATAAAACACAACTTTCATAAAAATAAACAATAATCTAACTTTGATAACAAAAAAAAAAATTTCCAAGCAATAAAGGCTCATAAAAAAACAAACTAGCATTAAAGAAACTAAAGAGTTTCATTACATTTCAAGTCAACAATTATACTTTTTTATTGTTTTTTTTTTTGATGCAGAAGTACTAGCAGATTTTCGCTTTCTAGAACTAATTTCTTTTTCAGCCATAAGACGCTGTTTTACTGGTGTATCTGTGAGTACTTCTGTATGCTTTCTCTTTGATCTAGTGAGTATTTCTTTCCTGGGTCGTGCTTTTGGTAGCGGTCTTACAACCTCAGGGGAAAATTTTGAAACTGCAGATGGAATTGCATCTGAGGTTGAAGTTGATATACTAATATCAATAGCTGCATTAGATTGGGTTGCTGGACGATCCGTAACAAATGATGGAGCAAAATCTGCATCTGAAAATATATCCTTATTATATGGCAATATTCCTGCCACTCTAAAACCAGAAGATATATTTTGTTGTGTAAGAGAATGTTGTAATGCTATTTTTGCAATTCCTGGTAAATCATATATACTCATTGTTTTCCCTGGACTACTTTTTATCCATGAGTCTTGTGCATTAGCTAAGCATTTTTTAAATGGTCCGAATACAGATCTATCTAGAGGTTGCAACTTATGCGAACAATGAGGAGGGAAAGAAAGCAAAACTATACCATTATCTTTACACAATGTTATTAATTGAATAGATAAATGAGATTGATGATTGTCTAAAAGTAATAACACAGGGCTTTCTTTTGATGGCTTTACATGTCGAATAAAGTGGTTTATGTAAGTAATAAAGCACTCCTCATTCATCCAGCCTGATCCATTCGAAGCACCAATGCAGCCATTTGGCCCATCACGAATAAAGTGATCAAAGAATTTCTTTCTTGGAAAAAGAAACATTGGAGGCACACTATTGCCATATGCATTTACGGCTATTACCATTGTCACTAATGTCCCTCGCTCTTGAGAAGTTAATGCACCCACTTGCTTAATGCCTTTACGAGCAATTATTTTGTTTGGTTTTTGCACAGTGGTGATACCAGTCTCATCAACATTAAAGATATTTGATGCAGAAAAATGATGCCTATCTAAAACATCTGATAATTTTTGAAAAAAAACACCTACATTAGCACGATTAAAGCTAGTTGCTCGTGCAAGACTTGTTGCTTCTGGAGTTCTGATAGACAATCTTGGATGTCGGTTTAAAAACCCTCTCATCCAATCAGGACCAGCCATGGAATGTTTTAACCACGATTTGGGAAAAATAATACCATACTTTACTGCACATTCAAATGCAAGCTTTCTTGTTTCATATGGTGATAATCCAAAATAGATATCAGAACATATTGATATATATGAAGCAATAGCTATTTCTTGTTCATAAGTAAAAACTTGATTCTTTTTATATCCAGGATAAGGTAGTGGCATTCCCATATCAACAGCTTTTTTAACTTTTTTTATATAACGAGAAAGAGTCGAGTAGTGGATTCCAAACTTTTTTGCTGATGCACGAACTGATGTTACTCTTCCATCAATAACGTGGCTTGCTGCCTCTATTACTACTTCTTTTGGATAAAGTCCTTTTTCAGTTTTTCTCTTGTAAGTTCGCATTTACAATTTTTATTAAACCTCTAAATAACATAACAATAAAAAAACACATTACAAAAATCATTTTATATAATTTAGTCTAAATTGCTACATTTATTTATATACCTATTAATGTTTTAAGTATGTACTTAATAATAATAATATTTTAATAATGTAATTATAACTTTTACGTATGTATGTATATAAATGTATATATATAAATGTATATATATATATATATATATATATATATATATATATATATATATATATATATATATATATATATATATATATATATATATACATTGATATATATATATATATATATATATATATATATATATATATACTGTATATATATATATATACACACTGTATATATATATACACACTGTATATATATATATATACACACTGTATATATATATATATATATATATATATATATATATATATATATGTATATATATATATATGTATGTATATATATATATATATATATATATATATATATATATATATATATATATATATATATATATATATATATATATATATATATATATATATATATATGTCTTTGAATATAAAAGATAAGTTTATATTCTATGTTTATATTTATATTCGAGGATTATATAATCCTCGAATATAAATATAAACATAGAATATAAACTTATCTTTTATATTATTAGACATATATACATATGCTTTATAAATATAACATACATATGTACGTTACATAGTCTTATCTTTAAAATTATAATTTTTTTTCAAAAACTTCTTTGCTGTCTTGTTATTAAAAAAAAGTCGATTATTTAGAAAAGTGCGTAAAATTAATAAAGTCCGCAGTTCTTTTGTGATTCAACTTACCCCGAGCAATTTGATGCAACTTACCCCGTAGGCATCATGATCACTCTAATCAATGCATACAATTAGCCATATTAAAAAAATCTATTTTTTTTTACTTTTTGTGTTTGAAAAAGATTTTTTTAACTTACTATTATTTTATTATTGTCATATACTTCTTAGTTTTTTGTAAAACCCAAAAAAACATTGAAACGAAAATTAGAAATTTATATAGAAAAAAAACAATTATCAATAACTTTTAAATTTTTAAGTTTATTACTATAAGTTTTTTATAACTTGCGTGTCATAATTATAGTTATATAATGTAAAAAAATTGAAAAATAATATGTAAAAATTATTCTTTAAAACGCATTGTTGCATCTTACCCCTGTTGCAACCAACCCCGGTCTCCCCTAATACAATTATTATATTTCTTATAGTATAAGTAATTTATTATCAAATATTTAACTTATAGAAAATGTTAAATCTTACATTTATATTGTGCATTTATAAATGATATCTAAAGTTTATATATAGCAGTGTCACTTAGTAAAACTTTAGTAATAGTAATACCACTTTACAAGATATAGTTATACAATGTTTTGTAAAGTGATAATATTTATTATTTGAGTTATAATATAAATATTATAACTTAAATTTTAATTTGTAGTATATAAGGTTTTATATGAAAAAATATTTAAATAATTTATATTGCGAATTATTTGTAAATATTAGTAATTAATAATAAAGAGATAAATTGCCTAGTTAACCATGACAACTGGGTCCCAGCTGGGATGTAACTGGATTACTGGAACTGAGTTTTGGCTGTGATTTGAACTGGGTAAAAGATGGGTCCCATATGGTGCAACAATTGCGGCAAAAATTATGCTTGAAAATATGATAAAATCTTTTAAAATGATATATACAGTAACACAACTTGATTTAGATACATTATACATGAGTGAACAGGAACTTAATTTTGTTCATTTTTAGTATTTTTGTAAAATATAATTATTTACATATCAGTTTTGATTCTATTATAAAAGTATAAATATTTTAGTAGCAATATTTAGACATTTATTTAACAAACGATTTTACAAAAAAAAATGTGGCATACTCTTAAACTTCTTAAATGCTCTAAATTTCATAGCCATTAATAAGTTTGAGAGTCAATGTTTACTTTTTCACAGACTTGTAAAATGTTTTATCAAACTGAAGGCATACTTTTTATTTTTTTTGGGATAGATAAATGTTGAAGATTTTTCAAATTAGTTTATATGGTTTGGTGTGCTTACAGTTATGGCTTCGTCACTAAGTTAAGAAAACGAAATTAGTGTGTTTCGTTTTAAATTATCTTTTTCAAGCCAATCTCAATGTCACTTTACAAAATATGGCAAGGTTTTACTAAGTAACACTGTCATATCTAAACTTTACATATTATTTATAAATACATAAATGTTTTACATTTTCTATAAGTTATATAATAATATATTACTTATATGATAAATACTGTAACTGATATTATAAGTTATAATATAAGGTTTTATTTGAAGAAATGTTTAAATTATTTATATTTTGAATTATTTGTAAATAATAGTAAAACAAAAATTATTTTGATAGCAATATTCAGATAATTGTAATATTTGATAGCAATATTCAGACAATTGTAAATTTTTGTTTTACTATTGTAAATAATAGTAAGATTATTTTGATAGCAATATTCAGATATTTGTTTAAGAAACAATTTCGCTCGTCTAAAAGAGTGAAATGTTGAAATGCTTTAAGGTTTTAAGATGTTTTTTAATTAGTTATCACAAGATGTTATATAATTTTTTTAAAGTATGTTGTGAAATAAATTAAATATGCAATCATAAAATGCTACTCAAGTGCAATATAAAATTAAAAATGTAGTTTTGATACTAAATATTGCAAAAACTGAATGTTTGAATAATCATGAATGTTTTGTATTTTTTACTTGCTATAGTAAGTCAATTTTAATTTAATTATTATAAGATATCATAATGTAATATATAATATGTTTATTTACAAAGTTATAAAAAAGATATCAAATTTTTTTGGTAATACATTTTCTATCTATGTCATTTTTGTATAAAACTTAAAATTTTAATAAAACTTTATTAAATTTATTTAAGAAGTTCAATAGTACCTATGTTTTGTTTTTAGAGTTGTTTTGTGTTGATTTATGATTAACAACAGAAAATACATTACTTCAACAAATGTTAGTTTTTTACACATAAAAGTTATGTAAAATCTCCTATGAAATGGTTCATCTAAGTCTAGTAAGTTTACACTTAATCTGACAACATTATTTTGAATATTTTTGTTTCAGAAAATTCAGTAAAGTTTTACTTTCCACGAGTTTTAATATCTCAAACTATTAGTTTACAGAGTTTGATAAAATAAATAAAATAATTTCTGTATATTAAAAATATATAGAATTTGCAAAATATACGGATTTTTCCTATTATTGACCTGGGCTATTGTGAATGGATAAATTCTGTGAATAGAAGATGGACTGTGAATTGTTTGGAATTGCAAATGTTATTATGATAGCACATATTTTTAGATCAAGAATAGTTTGTTTTACATTATTTTCATTATAAGTTTATGAATATATATGATTAAAAACTTTTTAAAAATTACATGTACAGTAGTGTGACATGATTTGGAATTAATATACATTTGAAGGATTTTTCACATAAACTTCGTTTAGTACCTCTATGGTAGTTTATTTTTATTTTTATTTTTCTGTTGATTAGTATAACAATATTTGCTAGTAATAATATTTATATACGGTAAAACGTGTATAATATTCATGCAATATGATTCCAGTTGTCAATTTTTTGATAGTTTAATGACAGCATGTAATGTCATCAATTCATGCTGCCATTGTCACAATGTAACAAGGTTTAAAAGTTATCTATGTATAACAATTTATCAGGGTGTTGTATATTTTTTAGAGTCTGCTGTGAAATAAATTTAATATATAATCACAAAATGTAGCTCAAAGACAACATGAAATTAAACAATAAATTTTGGTCCATAATAATTGAAATACGTTATGTTTGACTAATGATGAATATAACTATTATATATATATATATATCAATATAAGTACTCTACGCTTGTTTATAATTGTAAATTTTCATTATGAATATAATTTTAATACAAAATTTATTGTGGTCAAAACTACAATTGCTTTTAATTTTTTTCAATATGTTTAAATTGTAACAAATAATTATTTTCAAGTAGTGTAACCTAAAATGATTATTGTTTAATTAGATATAATCAAAATGTTAGTGATATTGATTATTTTTGCATTTATTAAATTAAATAAAAGATATTAAACCCTCACCATCTGATTTAAGGGTTTGATGTCATGTTAACTTGAGTAAGACTTTAAATTTTAAATGGTAACATAAAATCATGTTATATTATTGTTGTTTACAAGTCTATTTATATCATGCCTAATAAATAACATCAAACATTTAGCATAAAATGACATTGTTTTAGATTCCCTTCAGGATGCCTGTTACAAAGAAAAACTGAAGAAACTTTAAAACTAGATAATGGTAACTGAAGAAGTTGATACATCGTTATTGATGGTTTTATATCGAGGCTTCAGTTCTCCAGTATTTATTATTGTATTTTATTACTTATGTTATTTTTATTTTATTTTTCTTATTTTTGTAACAACATACGATGAGTATAATTAATTGTCCTGTACATTTACCGTAAAATGGCATTGTTTTAGAATCCCTGTTGGATGCCTGTTACACAGAAAAACTGAAGAAACTTTGAAACTAGATGATGGCAACTGAAGAAGTTGAAACACCGTTATTCATGGTGTCATATTGAAGCTTCAGTTCTCTAGTATTTATTTTTGTATTTTATTATTTATGTTATGTTTATTTTATTTTCATTGTTGTTATTTTTGTAACAACATACTATGAGTATAATTAATTGTCCTGCCCTGGGCCTCTACTTCAATCTTGCTATGGTTATCTCATTTATAACACATATATCGATTTATATACTGTATTGAGTTAGCTTGTGATTTATACGTGTGTTTTTGTTTGCCTAGTGTTTATTAGTTATACGTAAGATATGACATGGTATGGCACACTGCATGGTATACCCTAAATAATATTATCAATAAATATTTTTATTTATACTTTGTAAATATATATGCTATAATTTATTGTATTATTCAAATGTTTATTTTTAATTTATAAAATTAGTGTAAAAGTGGATGAAACACTAAAGAAGCGAAACGATAAACTTTAAAGCAAAATTTTGTCATGCGATTATGGTGGCGATATCAGAGAACTAATGGGGCAGAATTTTACTATCGTAGAACAGTTTTGCATCAAATCATTGTATAATATTAGTATTTTGTTGCTTAAAGTTATTATGAAATTCAAATCTGTTTTTTCAATTGATTCAATTGTAAAAATTATGTCAGACCAAATGTTCATTTGCCTAATACATTTTATTGTCCTGACAGCGAATTTAATATAGATAATATAAATAATCTTTACTTTTTATTTTTATATAAAAAATGCGATGCTTTTTAATCAAAAAATTTTTTATATAAAAAATTTTGCAGATTCAAGATACAAAAAATCTGCATGAAACAAACTCTAAAATTTTGAGAAAACCCACGGTAAATGGTAGAAATATCTGGGTTCAATATGGGATTTCCCGTCAAAAACCTAGACTAATTCCAGATGGGACCCAGTTGGATCCCACTGACAAAATTGCAATGGGACCCATATGGGTCCCATAATTTTCGTCCCAGTTGGAATGGTTAACTGGGATGTTTGAATAAGCCAACGAGTTTCCTACATTTCTTTAAATTTATGAAAACGCAATGATTTTTGCTAGTTGGTAGCTCATTCATCTTTAACAATTAAATTTAATATATGACAAAAACAAGGTATGTATAATTTATTAATTAGATCTTCTAGAAAATGTTTGATATTTGCAGCAGTGTCACTACTCGTTGGAAATGTTTTGTCATTTATTTTCCATTCATTAAAAATTAACTCATTTTGCTCCTTTAAATATAGGCTAGTATGGGCTTTTGGGCTATGCTTTAATGCAATCCGAATCTCAAACTCAAATTTCAACTTTGATCAACAATATGTACTGTGGCGCCGGTGTATGAATGCGAGGCTCGTGATGTCCATCCATCTGTAGTTAGATGGCAAAATTCAGCTTGGTTTAAAAGATGCATTACTTTTACTTTAAATGATTCAAATTTAAGCGGCACTATTTCATACGAAAACTTTTTTCTCGTCGGCAATTTGTACTTGTTATCAAACGAAGCTAGCATTTTAATAAAATACTTATTATCAATAATCGACAGCGGTTGACCTGTTTGAAGAACAAAGTTACACATAGATTCCTCTAAATCTCTATATTTCTGCGAACTTGGACAAACTGAGTGAGAGTTTACAAATACAGCTTTGATAGATAATGACCAGTTGTTGTACTTGTAAGTTTAGATTAATCCAATAGTTTCCTACAAATGATTTGCCATTGAGCTTGTATCTTTATTGTATTTTAGCTCTTTGTTGCAAACTTCGTTTGTTAAAGTATCTTTATATTTACATGTTGTTATTGTAGAGTCATTGTTTTTCCCAACACAATTCCAATCTTTACTTTTATGAATGTTTCGATTCGACATTTTACTTCTACAATAAAAAGAGAATAAGAATAAAATAGCTATTACAATTAAGTCAAAGAAGTCACGGCTTTTAAGTGTGTTCAGATAAGAATTTCTTCATGTAAAAATAATGTCCTAAAGAATTTGCATGAGTACCTGTCACTATTATTATTACAATTATTTTAATCGTTATTAATTTCTAAAGGGAGTTAAACCAATCGTTTAAAATGTCAAATTAGAATTATTATTATATGTATCAATCAATATAAAGAGTTTGATTGAATTCGTTGAATTATTGAATTTTAATTGTATTAAAACAGAGAGAATTTGAAAAAAAGATTCTTTCTGTATCATTTATCAAAACAACTAAACCAAATAGTTTGTAAGGCGTGTTTTTTGTGGCGTATCAAAGTGAAGGCTGGTAGGGCCACACTTTTTTGTGAATTTCAGATTTATAAAACTATGTATCTTTTTGGCATCGTTAACTGATGACACATTATTAAATAATTTTTTTAAAGAATTAGTTTTTTAAACGATTCAGTATAATGAGAAAAGATAAACATTAATGTAGTGGCACAGCATTCAGTAAGGTTAGAGCTGAGTTTATGTGAAACAGCAAATTAGGTTCAATGTTCAGATATTTTGATTGAATTAAAAACCCAGCAATAAATAATAATCTTGCGCATGGCTCAATCTTTACAAATATTTTATCTTTATAAATCAATCTACTTATAAGGATATATCTTTACTAATTGGTCTGCATCATATTAATATGATAAAATTAAATATTCACAAAATTAAATCAAACGAAGAGATAAAGATAGGAATTTTAGAACTCGATTAAATCGACTTTTAGTCTATTAGTAGAAAATCTAAAGTCGATTAAATCGGCGATTAGATTTTTCATAGTCGACTAATTTCGACTTTCGATTAGTCGACTTTTAGTCGATTTAGTCAAAGTCGATAACAACACCAGTTTTGAATAATTTTTCTCGATTCCGTGGTAGGTGCGGACAAACGATAGAAAAAATGTTGACTTGTTTTTTATATTGACTACATTAATTTAGACTTTAGGGGTCGTCCATAAAGTATGTCATGCTATTTTTTTCAATTTTCAAACCCCTCCCACTCCCCCTCCTGTCACAAACTGTCACTTAATTTTGCACCCCCCTAAAAAGTATGTCACATTTTTCTTTCCCCCCCCCCCCCCTCATCCTCAAAAACAAACAAAAAAAAAACATTACGGAATTTTCAACATTCTAACAACATAGTAATAGTTATTTAACAGAATAAAAACTCAATTTAACTAATTTGGAATACCTTCTTAATTTATTGGGAAAGATTGTCATCATAAGATAAAATAAAAATAGTCCTTTTATTTGAACCTCATGTTTTTGATGGAACTGGAACACATTTGGACTCATTTTGAGAAGTTAAAAATATTGCATTTATAACCAAACCAAGTTCTACGCCGATGATTGCAAGATCACGAGAGTTATTGATGTTAATCAGTTTTCCTCGTATTATAAAAAACTGAAAGCGGACACCGACAGCGCTGTATATTGGATGCAATCTATTTTTAACATCATGTGCATTAAACTCCATCAAGAGTTTTGTGAACATGCCTGGCATCCCATTTCGAATTACCATACAAAATTGCTCATCATTTACAATAGATTGATTTTTATATTCTACAACAGTCTTTCTCATCAAACCCAGCATAAATATTAAGAAAAATATTTAAAACTTTAACGAATCAAAGGTTATCAAGAACGTCAGCACGTTTGCAAACCGTGTTGCAAACCGTTGGAATAAATTAGCGCAGGATATAGTTGATGCAGTTTTGCTAAATAAAAGGTTTATAACTTTTTGGAAACCAGACGGTCAGCTCGGGTTCCCGCTAAACAAATTGCAAAAAGAACACGGTAAATCATGGTTTACAGCTTATTTTCAATCTACATGCAAACTAAATCTATATGCATACTAATTTTTAACACAATGCCACTATCTGTCACTGAAGGTGAACGGCTTTTAAGTAAACTAAAATTGATTAAATAAAATATTACAAGGTCACGGACACTCAAGTTGAAAATAAATCGGATACATTTTTATTGTAAGTTGGCACAATAATAATAATAATTTTCGCTTGTAAAAAAGCAAGGAAAAAGTATTTTCAATATTAATTTTAAAGAACCTGTCTGTTAAACCTAATCAGTGAATGTTAAACGTGTGCATAAGTGTTATTAAATCCAGATGCGATTCGTAAAAATATAGATATAAAATAATTAGAAATAAAAACACGATCATTAACTTGTATAACTGTACATGTCTTTTAGTTTTAATGCCTTTTAGAAATATGCAAATTTATAAGGGCGAATAATTGCTGCTATGCCTCGGGCGTCATAAAAGCTCTTGACGCCCTTGGTTTAAAGAATGTACATAGAAAGCAACTTATATGCCACGATTCAAAAGAAATATTTAAAAACTCGACTTATGGGGTTGCGTTATGTTTCTACTGTACATAATTTACCTTATATTTTATTAAGTTTTATATATAGGTTATATATTATTAGGTTTTATATATAGATAATATATTATTAGCTTTTATATTTAATTCTATTTACAGATCCTAACTTATTACTCCACAAAGTTCTCAGAGAACAATTTTGTTGTTCTAAAATATAACTTTAAACGGTCAATTAAGCATTGTGAGCCATACTTACCAAAAATATTTTTTAGATATTGGAAATAAAAGAATTTCTCTGAATCAGTTTAAAAAACAAATCTGATTGATTCTTTTAACTCATGGATTATACTAAACTCTATTTTAAATGCTTTTTTAAAATAAAGTTTATCTCGAATTAAGAATAAATCAATAAAATAAAAAAATATGCGTTATAATCGCATAACATATAAAGAAAGGTTAGGAATTATATCACCTCTAAGAGTTTTTATTCATTCATCACTAACACTTATTCATTCATCACTGATTGTTTTTTGTTATTACAGTTGACGTTATTTTTCACAACTGAAAATGTAAGCATTTTACTGTTATTCTGTATATCAACACTATCTGTATATAAACTTTTATCTAAAGCAATGTTACATACTAATTTATATATTTACGCCTATATAATACACTATTTATGAATCACGACTTTATAAAAAAAGAACTCAATGATAAGTCTAAATTATTTCTTCCTCCAGCCACTATAGAGCCAATGTATTAAACTATATTTATTTACTTTGATACATCTATTTAAAATTTTTATAAATTTTCTTTACAACAAAAAACATTTATTCTATGCTATTATAATGGTTTAGAAACTTTAATAATGAAAGGTAAGTTTGACATAACATATCGATAAGATCGACACGTCTTTTCGATAAGTTCGACACATCATTTGTAATCTGAATAAATATTGATGTACAAAATTACTGTATGTATGAAATGTTTTAATGTATTTAAAAACAGTTTGCACTTCACTGATTGAATATATCTTATTTGGTTAGTGAATTTAGCTTTATATTTTTTGCCTATACGACTCATGATAAACAACAACAATAACAGCTAGTTAGATGGCATATTGAAGGAAGCGTTTTGCGTTGTATTGTGGGCTAACAAAAGACAATATGTATAAAATTTTTTTATGTATTTTAAAACAGTTTTCAAATCATTGTGAGCTAACGAAAATACTTTATGTATGAAATACTTTAATGTATTTAAAAATAGTTTGCAATTCACTGACCGAAT